TACCCCAAATGATGAAAATTTGGAGCTGCAAGATGATCGGACAGTAGCCCATGAGACATCACTACCACTTTTCGACTTGTAAAAAGAAGTATAAGACGAAGATGATTGGAAGTTCTTCTTGTGAATTAGCCATTTTGACTAACCATTATTTTCCCCTTACAGAACACAACAAAATAACCACAATCATGATCGAATCCCATCACTCATTGTCACTGCTTAACTATACAATCAACATATTAATACCAAATGAAGAAGAAGAGGAGGGGGACTTAGATATTATAAGAAAAACAAATAAAGGATAACAAAAGCTCCCCTAACTCTATTATCAAATGCCAAGTTCTAAAGATTATTATATGTATGCCAACATCAACACAATTGAAGAAACCAATATCTCCATTTTGACCACACAAAAAAAAAAACCAATATCTCCATCAACAGGGCTGAGAAATATAGCTCCATCTTTGGTTTGAAGGACCAAAGTGTTCGACAATGACTCTCTTTCACTAAGCAGAAAAGCCTAATCAGTGCAATATAACTTGTATTGTATCAAGCACATTCTCATGCTAGATCTCTCAGTGTTTCCAGGCAACATAGATCCAAATTTACAAAACTCAGCTCAAGAATTCAACAAATATATGCAAGAATTCAAAATCCAAAATGAATTCATTTTCTGACCAAAAAGAAAAATGAAATCATTTGAAATGACAGAGGATGGATGTGCTTGGTCGATTGGCAGTTGCAGGTTTGTAGTAGACATTGTAGCGCCTTGGAAGGATGTATTATTGACAAGTAATAGTTCTTTAGTTTGTATTCTTTACACTTCATCCTACATTGTCATATACAGATCATCAATACATCAACAGGTGCAGTCAAAGCAAATACAAAGCAATGAGATCCAATGCACAAAATCACAAGCTCAGCAGTATTCTAGAAGATTAGGAAACAGCTAGTCATATATCCATCATACACATGTCATCATGTCCATATTCTTTGTAACTAATTCCATTCCAAATGATTCCTTTTTCATTGGTATATAAACAATACTGTTTTCACAAGAGTGAGAAATACAATAGAAATATTCAACCATTTCTAGTCTTTCTTTTTCTCCATTCTTAATTCTTCACAGTTTATGTGGCTGTTGGTGAATTTTTATATTGGAAAGATGTCAAACCTAAATAGCTTAAGAAAATAAAAGGCTAATGAAGGACAATCAACCGACATTATTTCCACTCCCACGTCTGAATTTAATAAAAGCAATGACATCTTCTTTGTCTGTAGAAATTATAGTCGTCCAAGACACTACGTTGCGATCATTCATGCAATGAAAGACTAATTTTGCATCTTCAGTTACCTCACACTTTGAATATGTTCAGATCATTACATTACAAACTGAAACATGACTTCCATATCCTGATTTAATTGTCAAGCCATGTATCTGTTTCCCAAGTTCTAAATTCATTTCATGACCGCAAGCTCAAACTGCACTAGTAAATGAGACATGATCTGACCCCATCCCTTCTCCCACCATCTCAATAAAGACAAAAATCGTCTCAGGCTCATGATTTCCCTCTTGAGAGTAACCTGATAGTATTGCATTCCATGAAACCAGATCCTCATTCGCCATTTCATCAAACACATTTCTAGCTTCTATTAACCGCCTCTACCTCGAATACATACTTATAAAAAAACTTCACCATCTAAACCAGACTTAAATATAAGAGAATGCAGTTGTAATCCAAATAGAAAATCTTCATGATCCGTACAAAAAGCAAGAATCGTAGTATAAGTCACTGGGTAAAAAACAACTCCATTAAAATTCATCCTAAGAGCAGAATTCAATGCACCCTCACTTGTTCGAAACCCCGAAAGAATAGTATTCCAAGAAAATATATCAGTATAGCACATGGTCTCAAAGATAAGTAAGGGACGATTCAACTGTCCAGCTTTAGTGTACACACTCATCAAAGAATTTGAAACCGTAGTATACGAAGCAAACCCAGAAGAATTGCTAACCTGTGAATTTGGAATCCGGGTTTGGGGTCCCCTTGACAGGCCTTGATAGCAGGTAACGGTATTTTCATCGATGTTATGAGACAAATGTAGTTGAAGTTGCTTACAGAACATGTCAAGGGCTCTAAGGGTAACAGTAACTTCATCGTGTTCGTTTCTCTGTCTCTTCATTTCACTCGCGCACCACATTCCTCTGCGAGTGCAAACAACGTCTGTCTTCATTTGGAACAAAAAGGAGGCGGCCAGACCCGCCCAGGCCACCTAGGTGCCGTCTAGACCCACCAGCACCGCCTAGACCCGCCCAGGCCGCCTAGGCGCCGCCTAGATCCGCTCAGGCCGCCTAGGCGCAGCCTAGATCAGCCCAGGCCCCTAGGCACAGCTTAGATCAGCCCAGGCCGCCTAGGAGCGGCTAGATCCGCCTAGGCCGCCTAACTCCCTTATAGCATCAGAGTTGTTATCTTAGTGGAGATTTCAATAGCTGAATGACATTTGATGGTTTTCATAGAGAGAGTCCAATCCAATCCAATGAACGGAGTAGCCAAATTGAAGGAAAAAAAAAATCGAAGCTTGAGTTGAGAGAGAGAGAGAGAGAGGCTCAAGACAGTCTTTGAAGCTTCGAAATGGCTGTGACAGGGAGTGCAAGCTTCGCGTTCGTTGTGTAATATATGTAACGAGTATAGCCGCTCGGCTATACCTTAAAATATTTGAATATATTTAAAGAGCATAACTGTGAATAATATATTTAAATAGTATAGCCGCATGTCGATACCTTTAAAATATTTGAATATATAGGATATACCATTAAAATAATATATTGAAATTGTATCGCCGCTCAGCTATACTATTTAAATATACAATTTTGTCATGTTATTTTAAAATACCACTTTAGCTAATTAGGATAGAGTTATTTCTTCAAGTTTTTTTTTAAATTTTATTTTATTTTTTATACCAGTGATATTGGGGAATGAGAATTTAAATTCTTTCCGATACCTCTCATTCTAATGAATTCCAGCTATTAGTCCATTAGGCCAGAATAAAAAATGGATTTTATTTATAAGAAACAATACGGGTTAAACCCATAAATACAACAACAAAAAATAAGGGTCCACCAACATTTTGGGGATAAAAGAATCTTGAATTTCATAGTATAAAATTGCTTGTGTAAGAATTTACTTTCTAAAATGTATCCATCGTAATTATGAACTAAACTCAATGATAGCCTTTTTCTCATTGCACTTGACAACCTTTCTCTTCTGCTATGAGATATATCAGTTCGCGTTGTATTCTTTGTAGATGAAAAATTGGATACAAAATAGTCTAATGAGACAACAAAGAGAAGAGTTTTGAAATAAATTGAAGGTATCCGAGGTCATATGGCATTGATATATATATATATACGAACTATTCTAAATGAGATTTCAAACAACATGTTAGATGTGAAGTAGCATCTCAATCTTACATATACCATACCCATGTGCACCTGAAATTCCCAATGTTAAGAGGGGATAAAAGTGCAATACCTCCCTTGTATCTCGCAAGCGCAGGAGATCCAGCCTTTTAGGAGGACGCCGGTTTGATAAAGAAGCAAGTTGCATCCAATCATACATTAATACCGGCAATCACAACCCACAATATACTCAATTTTAATAAAGAGAAATATAAAGTTACCTAGAAGCTGAAACGCTCAGGATCTTGTAGTGAAGGCATCAGCGCTTCATGTCGAGAAGTCTCTCAAGTCGTCTTCGATAAGTAAAGAGATACTATAATACATAGGGCACATAGGTACACTGAACACAAGAGCATGGGAAGAAACCATTCTTATGTACACTGGCATTACATATAAATAAGATATGTTGATCTAGAGATAAAGATCCTCCCCAAATGTTCCAAGCAGAAGCTTCCTAAAGATGAAATCTGAATATGACTGACATTTCAGTGGAACAAAAGGTTTAACCTAATAAAACTAATCTTTTATTTCCAACCATTACATTTGACCACCAAATTGAAACATGCAATCTCAATCCGGCAGTAATATTCACCCAAAATAATGGAAAATTTGATTTAGGATATTCTTATAGGTCATCCATATACCTATTATAGAGGACTAAGAGATTTAACTTACGGAGATAACCCATTTAAAAACAAACAAAAAAGAAGGTAAATTCTGAGTTCATTCAATTGATGTCATTCCTGAGCATTTTGCCTTGACCTGCTGCTGTTTTACCCCGCCCTATCCATAACCGAGCATACTCTGCTGCATTTATTTGTCAATTCCTGCAACTGGACAGGTATTGAAGTTAAGCCATATAGGCGCAACCAATATGAGGGGGAAAAACATGGAAGAACTTTGTCCTTCATCTTCCTACAGTGATGCATGTTACACTTCAGGCTATTAATACATTAGCTACAGGGCCTTTTAGCAATGACATTATTAGACTTAATTCAGTGACAACTATAATACATTTGAAGATATACAACCAAATTCCATTAGGTCACTTGTCACATGTAAAATAATATGCCTCATCCACAACACTTAAGCTCTGATTATTGCACTCAAGTTTTGCCAATTGAAGTTGAAAACTACGCAACTTTGCATCTAGAAAAATGTGTGACCAATTTATTAATATATAAAAAAATAAAAATAAAAACTCAAAAGCATTGTTAAGCACCAGATCAATTTAACTCAAGCTTCTTACAATTCTCTACAACAAAAAATTTAAAAATAAAATATAAGAGAAAAGAGCACACTCCAATAGAGAGATTACAGCAAACCAAATTGTCATGAACTTACGTCTGCCCTCTCTCTAGACCCTTCTGGTGGATATATGTCATGTACCAATACGGTACCTGAAGAGCACATCAAAAGACAAAAATATTGAACAAGAGCAGTAACTAAAGATCAAATGAATGGCTAGACATCTCATAAGACAACTCACCCATCTTGGTCCCAAGATCGAATTATACGAAACCGTCAGCAACTTTCAAGAAGAGCACCTGCGATAATTGGGCCAGTCACTAATCCAAGTTTGATCAAGGAAGAGTGGCATCATTGGCCATATTTCAGAGAAATATCCTGAGCATCACCAATTGCACTCAAGACACTACCAAATGTGTAATTGTTTGGCTTCGACTCCATAGTTGCTACCAAGAATGTTTTTAGTGCATCTTGACACAGCCCGTTCTGAGCATACCCAGAAATCAAAGCATTCCACGATATGATTTCTCTACAGTTTAACTCCTCAAAAACTTTGATGGAGTCATGAATGGAATCAAACTTAGCATACATGGTGATCAAGCTGTTGCAAACATTATGCTTTGATAAAAAGCCAGTCTTTATGCAAAACCCATGAATCATTTCGCCTTCCTCCACCAACTTCCTAATTGATATAGCATGGATTAGTCCAACAAATGTAACATCATTTGGATATACTCCATCCAATCTCATCTCATTAAATAGAGAGATGGCATCTTCTTCGTCTATTGAAATCATAGTTGTCCAAGACACTACGTTAAAATCATTCATAATGCAATGAAAGACTAATTTTGCATCTTCAGTTACCTCACACTTTGAATATGTTCAGATCATTACATTACAAACTGAAACATGACTTCCATATCCTGATTTAATTGTCAAGCCATGTATCTGTTTCCCAAGTTCTAAATTCATTTCATGACCGCAAGCTCAAACTGCACTAGTAAATGAGACATGATCTGACCCCATCCCTTCTCCCACCATCTCAATAAAGACAAAAATCGTCTCAAGCTCATGATTTCCCTCTTGAGAGTAACCTGATAGTATTGCATTCCATGAAACCAGATCCTCATTCGCCATTTCATCAAACACATTCCTAGCTTCTATTAACCGCCTCTACCTCGAATACATACTCATAAAAGAACTTCACCATCTAAACCAGACTTAAATATAAGAGAATGCAGTTGTAATCCAAATAGAAAATCTTCATGATCCACACAAAAAGCAAGAATCGTAGTATAAGTCACTGGATCTAAAACAACTCCATTAAAATTCATCCTAAGAGCAAAATTCAATGCACCCTCACTTGTTCGAAACCCCGAAAGAATAGTATTCTAAGAAACTATATCAGTATAGCACCGTCTCAAAGATAAGTAAGGGACCATCAAACTGGCCAGCTTTGGTGTACATGCTCATCAAAGAATTTGAAACCGTAGTATACGAAGCAAACCCAGAAGAAACTGCAAACCCGTGAATTTGGCATCCGGGTTTGGGGTCCCCTTGACAGGCCTTGATAGCAAGGGTAATGGTATTTTCATCGATGTTATGAGACAAATGTAGTTGAAGTTGCTTACAGAACATGTCAAGGGCTCTAAGGGTAACGGTAACTTCATCGTGTTCGTTTCTCTGTCTCTTCATTTCACTCGTGCACCACATTCCTCTGCGAGTGCAAATTTAACTTCGTCTGTCTTCATTTGGAACAAAATGGAGGCGGCCAGACCCGCCCAGGAAACCTAGGCGCCACCTATACCCACCAGACCCGCGCCCAGGCCCCCACGGAGCCGCCTAGATCCGCCCAGGCCGCCTAGGAGCCGCCTAGATCCGCCCAGGCCGCCTAGGGGCTGCCTAGATCCGCCCAGGCCGCCTAGGGGCTGCCTAGATCCGCCCAGGCCTCCTAACTCCCTTATAGCATCAGAGTTGTTATCTTAGTGGAGATTTCAATAGCTGAATGACATTTGATGGTTTTTGTGGAGAGAGTCCAATCCAATCCAATCAAGGGAGCAGCTGAAACGAAAGAAAAATAATCGAAACTTGAGTTGAGAGGGAGAGAGAGAGGCTCAAGACCTAGTCTTTGAAGCTTGGAAGCGCTTATGGAGAAACGAAATGGCTGTGACTGCGAGTGCAAGCTTTCGCGTTCGTTTTGGAATATATTTAACGAGTATAACCGAACGGCTATACTGTAAAATATTCGAATACAACCGATGAGTATAGCCGAACGGCTATAACTTCAAAATAATATATTTAAATAGTATAGCCGAACGGTTATAATATTCGAATGTATTCCAAGCGTATAGCCGGACGGCTATACCTTCAACTAATATATAGTATAGCCGTTCGGCTATATGTAACTATTATTGCTTTGTCTTCTGGTTGTTTCCATGACTCACCATATCTTGATGGTTAATTTTCACTCATTTATATGACCCTTTTGTACATGCAACCTTTCTTTTTTCTTTTTATTATAAACGTTAAACAAGAAGATTATAGGTGGTGATGGACAAAGGGAACCCATACATGACCTTTTGTTATCGTTCACATCAAAACTTCATTTGTATGTTACCTCAAGATGAATTTCCTTTCTTTTTTTTCTTTTCTTTTTTTTGAAATTTGGCTACAGAACTTCTTAACAATCATGAGTTGCTTTTGAAGTTTTACATGTACAGATTCAAGCCTTCAAAGTGAGGGCCTTGAGAAGGAGTCCATTTTTAGTGATTTTGTCTCCCACATGTTCTCTCTCAGAATTTTCATCTTTAATCCAAGACATTTTGCCATTCTACTTATCTCCCCAGACTCTGGGTGGGATGTATCACCTGATGAAAACCCATGCAGATACAAGGAACCATCAGCATCACCAGTATCCACCCAACTATATCCCACTTCCTTTCTCACTCCTTTACCTCTCATCCCTTTCCTAACTTTTGCTACCATTTCCCAGTCCCCTTTCTCAGCATACAAGTTGGACATCAACACAAAAGAACCTGATTCCATTGGTTCCAATCTCATCAATGTATCGGCTACTCTCTCCGCCATCTCCACATTCCCATGGATCCTGCAAGCCCCAACCAGGCTTTGCAACAACGAAAACCCTGGATGTCCCTGGATCAGACTCACCAATTCCCCTGCTTCCTCCAATTTCCCTGCCCATCCCAACATGTCCACCATACTTGAAATAATGTTGAGGAGATGGTTCAATATTGTTAGAATGTACGGGAAAGAAAGTGATTTTATTATATTGGAGGAGAATAGTACATAGCATGGTGTAGACTAATTGGCCTTCTACACTTAGCATATTGGCTTATTGGCCACCACACTTGATTTAGATTAGTTTTGGGCTATTTGGCCCTTCACTTGGATTGGTGAGCTTATTGGCTCCTCAACATAGTTTATTTGGGTAGCTTTTTTCACTCCCACATAGATTGGGAGTTCTATTAGTTGACTCCCCATATAATTTGGGTTGGGTAGCCTTTTAGCTCCACTTTGTATGATCATTTGTATGTCTATTTATGACATGATCCACCGCCATACCTTAGACCACCGACTTAGGAAGAGTAACCCCAGCCACATATGTGTGGCTTTCTCTAGATAGTTCTCCAAGGTTGCATGTAGCTGCCGACTTCCCATCAAGCTTATGGCACTTTCTTCAAGCTTCAAGATTTTTCCACACATTTCTTTAGCACAAATGTGCATTAATTTCAACAAATATGATAGTCTTTCACCATTGAGTGAAAGAGGTGACGGCCCATCTCCACCATTCCCTTTCTGCTGCATGATGTTAGTACAGAAAGAAATGTGACTGAATCAGGTCTTACCCCTTCTTAATGAGTGAAAGAGGTGACGGCCCATCTCCACCATTCCCTTTCTGCTGCATGATGTTAGTACAGAAAGAAATGTGACTGAATCAGGTCTTACCCCTTCTTAATGAGTGAAAGAGGTGACGGCCCATCAAAGCTTTTCTTCGGAACCAAAAAGTATTGTCCAAATGTCTAATGATGATTGAAGTAGTGCTTTACACATAGTGAAGAGGTTATTGAAGAAGAGGTAATGATCCATGGGTAGAAACAGAAAGTGGTGGATGGCGTGGAAGTCCAATTTAATAAAGTAACCGCTATAAGATGCTTTCACTCTGTGCAGTTTTGTGAACCAGACCACTAGTCTTTGAATTTTCTCAATTCTAAATTTGTGAAACTAGATTCCAATGAAATGCAGCTTTAGATTTGTAATGTAAATGTGAAATCACACATGCTGATGAGATGAATATATGGAGGTTCTGAAAAGTTTTGCTTATGTATGTATTTGATTGTTGGATAAAGGTTTTGGATTTACAGCTTTTTATATCAAAATGAATATTTATTGCCTAATAACAAAGCTAATTGCTGGTTTTCTTGAATCATTATGGAGGGACATTGACATGAACAGGCTTCGCCATGACCCTTGCCATGACCTCAATCTTATAATAATATCACACAGGTTAACGCCACGCGTGTGGGAACCGAATTAAATCAGACCCTAGGTCAAATAATTCCTTCCATTTGGGGATTATTTGACCTAATTGAGAATTACTCAACCTAATTGGGAGTTGCTCAATTTAATTAAGGATTCCCTAATTAAATTGAGAATTGATTTGATTCCTACCCCAATTGCCATTTAAATGAGGAGTTACCTAATTAAATTAGGATTTGATTTGATACCTATCATAATTTGGGATTTGATTTACCCTAATAAATCAAATTCCTAATTAAGCAAATCAATTCCAAATCGGGGAGGAATAATTCATTTCCATCTACGGAATTATTCCTCTGAAACTCTAGCCTCCGAGACCACTATAAAAGGATGGCCACACACAAAGGTGAAGGTACGTCTAAATTCCTACTAAAACTCTGCAGAAATCATTTCTCTAAAACCCTAGCCACCATATTCTTTCTCTCTCTGACACAAGGCTCCAGTCACCACACAGGGCTCCGGCCACCCGGTTTTCCTTGAAATACCCTACCTAACTTAGTAATCGGAGGGCCTTTGGCCAACACCCACGGGTGTGGTTCTTTTACCCCGATCTGTTTTGCAGGGAGAAAGAGAAGTGGTGAAGACGAAGGAATCTTAGGTGAATATTCTTGTGGGAAGAAATTTGCTCCCACAACGCGTCTTCCTAATGAAGTGGTTCAAGTGGACGGTTGAGCAATTCGAGCTCCTAAACAATCTTGGAAATTGCGAATTTCGAGTGATGCAATTAGGAAAGGGCGGAGAATACAGCTTAGCAATCCATCACAGTGAGGAAGAACTAGTAGAATGGGGTCTCCCCTCAGAAATGATAGCTGACCAAAAGTGGCGAGCCCATGCCAACAGGGTTGATTGGAATGAGCGTTGCCCCTGGTACCTTGATGCTTTTTTCGACCGTCTAGCTGACTCGGAAGACAGCGGAGAAAGTGAAGACATTTGTCATGAAACTGATGAAAAGATTCAGCAATCAAATTGATTCTGCGAGTCATGCAACCAAACTGATTCTTTTAGCATATAAACATAGGCTCCTCAGCAGTTGGGTTGGGAATTCTTCTGATTTGACAGGTAGTTAATTGTTGTGTGTCCATAGTATCTCTTGAATGCTGGAAATAGAAACTAGCAATATCAATTGGAGTTCAGAATTTTACTGATTTCTTTGTTGTGAAGATTCGATGGGCTAAGTAGGGTTGTGCTGCTCTTATTCATTGTGTAATTTGGATTTGTTGAAAGAATGAAATTTGCATGCTAGACTGATTTTGGACAGGAGATGGATGTGAATGCATGGCAAACAGGGCTTTCTGAAATGGGCATCAAATGACATTTTAGGTTGTAGGCAGAGCGCTGGTAAAGTATCATTGCTCCATGCATCTACCTTTTCCTTTCGAATGAATGGTGCGTCCAGAAGCAAGCTCTTCATGTGAAACTATCAAATCTTTCTGGCAAGTCAAGTTGAAAGAATCTAAAAGCCTTGTACGAGGAAAGAAAGCAAAAAAGAAAAAACTTTCAATCTTCTCAGTCTAGAATTAATGACTATCCCAAAATCATGAAAGAAACTTTCAAGGATATATATATATATGGATATATCTGCAGCTTATCTCGTGGAGTGAAAGAAAGAAGATAAATATTTCATGATCACCATTCAGCTGTGCAAGGATGAAGTACAGCAAATGATGAAGATTTCTCTAGATCATCCCTTAAGAAACTGATACGAAAGGCTTGAATTACACCATTTTACCATAACAACTTCTCCTTGGCACGAAGAGCGTATTGAACTGTCAGAAATTGAATTTTGGTTTTGAAGCAAAGTATGTTAAGCCCCTTATACTGGCGTCTCCTGGCAAGGACCTAACATTTCCATATAGAGTTTTTTAGGCTTATATACTACATAATATATCACTCAACACTTAGAAATTTAAATATGTGACACAGATGAACAACTAGAACATCTGAAAGTTTTGGTTTGAGTTGAGATCACATTCAATGCATTCATTCCTATGTTTTCTTGTTACCCCAAAGATGAAAATTTGGAGCTGCAAGATGATCGGAAAGTAGCCCATGCGACATCACTACCACTTTTCAACTTGGAAAAAGGAGTATAAGACCAAGATGATTGGAAGTTCTTCTTGTAAATTAGCCATTTTGACTAACCTTTATTTTACCCTTACAGAACACAACAAAATAACCACAATCATGATCTAATCCCATCACTCACTGTCACTGCTTAACTATACAATCAACGTATTAATACCAAATGAAGAAGAAGAGGAGGGGGACTTAGATATTATAAGAAAAACAAATAAAGGATAACAAAAGCACCCCTATCTCTATTACCAAACGCCAAGTTCTAAAGATTATTATATGTATGTCAACATCAACACAATAGAAGAAACCAATATCTCCATTTTGACCAAACCCAAAAAAAAAAAAAAAAAAACCAATATCTCCGTCAACAGGGCTGAGAAATATAGCTCCATTAGTGGTTTGAAGGACCAAAGTGTTCGACAATGACTCTCTTTCGCTAAGCAGAAAAGCCTAATCAGTGCAACGTAACCTGTATTGTATCAAGCACATTCTCATGCCGGATCTCTTAGTGTTTCCAGGCAATACAGATCCAAATTTACAAAGCTCACCCCAAGAATTCAACAAAATTGTTGGAAAATCAAAATAGAAACAACAATATTCTTGCTTTTTATTATATTATTAGTTTGAGATTAGTATTGTGGGGGGAGAATTGGTTTAAGGTTTAGAAAATGTGATCATATGTTACGCAATTAAATGATTAGTTAGAATTATATGTTTATCAAATTTATCAAATTATGTAGGTTTTAAGTAGCTCTTAATTTAGTTGTTTTTCTCTTTCAATGTTTAAATATGTCGCAAGTTCGAATTATCATGCGTATCAGTCATACCTTCGTTATGCAGAGAATCACTAGTTTTGTCATTCTTAGTCTTATACATAAATGTATACGGCATGTATGTTAGTCACACTTATCTAGTGCTGTAGCAAACATAATACATATTTAGTTTTTCTATATGCAGTGCAACTCGCAAGTAATTTTTTTAAGAAAATGTTTGTTTGCTGCAATAGTTATTTCCACCCGGCAAGTTGTGGTGATACAATGGCGGAGAGAGATGCTGGAGGAAACCAAAAAAAGATGATGGCTAATGTATGAAACATGGAATATAAAATTAAAGAATGCTAATCAAAAACCAATTGTTGGTTATGGGACCATACATAGAGCACCACTTTGTAGGAGGAGATTCCTAATTCTAGCTGGATTCTGGATTGGGCATGTTGAAAGCATAGTGGTTGCATAGCCACTGACATATATCATTCTCTAAAATGTAATAATCATATAATTTATCTCACTTAGACCCTAGAACACTATTTAACCAGACAATGTATCTTGCTTTTACTCGTTGCCAAGGTTAACATGTGAGCTTCCGTTGTTGGAAACCGAAAGGCAATACAGATCCAAATTTTCAAAATCCAAAATGAATTCATTTTCTGACCAAAAAGAAAAATGAAATCATTTGGAAAGACACAGGATGGATGTTCTCGGTTGATTGGCAGTTGCAGGTGTGTGGTTGAAATTGTAGTGCCTTGGAAGGATGTATTATTGACAAGTGGTAGTTCTTTAGTTATTTACACTTCATCCTGCATTGTCATATGCAGATCATCAATACATCAGCAGGTGCAGTCAAAGCAAATACAAAGCAATATCCAGTGCACAAAATCACAAGCTCAGCAGTATTCTAGAATAGAAGGAAACGGCTAGTCATATATCCATCATACACGTCATCATGTCCAAATTCTTTGTAACTAATTCCATTCCAAATGATTCCTTTTTCATTTGTATATTTCACAAGAGTGAGAAATACAATAGAAATATTCAACCATTTCTAGTCTTTCTTTTTCTCCGTTCTTAATTCTTCACAGTTTATGTGGCTGTTGATGAATTTTTATATTGGAAAGACGTCACACCTAAATAGCTTAAGAAAATAAAAGGCTAATGAAGGACAATCAACCGACATGATTTCCACTCCCACTTAATTTAATAAAAGCAATGTATACAAAAAAGGAACTAGCCTAAATTGTGAACTCAATTCATCCAATATTAACACACCTCCACAAGGGCATCTTTAATCCCCTCGCTGCAATTTGTGCACCTAAATAATGCACAAAAGTTAATTTATTGTTAACAATGATTACTCCAAAGAAAAGAAAAACCCTAAAGAAAATGAAAATTCCTTACTTAAATCATCACTGTTGGCAGACTGCCTATTCTTGTTGTCTGATGTTGCAGTGGCAGGGGTAGCAGAAGGAGGGTTGTGACAAATTTTCCATGGTTCCTCGTCATTTTTCATTTTCTTACCCAAAGTGTATTTCTCCTCTAAACTAGTCCAAGTTTGTTGCAGCTACAAAATCCCTAAAATTTCCCATCTTGACTTGCTATGGCTACATAAATAGCCTAGTTGAACCATTTGCACAAAATGATCAAAAGACACTGATTCTCAGGAGGCCCTCAAATTGGAGCGGCAAAGTATGAGATTGTCCAATTAGGAAGCGATCAATGTCAGACAAATTCAGAATTCTACGTCTGCGTTTAGGAGGCAACTCTGGGGTTGTTTTAGTGCTTTACTTGAGAGGCACATGATGGAGAATAAAGTCAGACTCATTGGGCAATTACACGAGCCAATCTCTGCTGCTGACTGAAGAATGGCTCGTGTAATTGCCCATGGTGGAGAAAAGACAAACCCTTTTGGCTTATGAACCAATGGTTATCTGCTATTGTTGCTTCTCTAATACCTGGTTCATAAGCAAAAAAGGTTTGTCTTTTCTCCACCATGGGCAATTCCACGAGCCATTCTTCAGTCGGCAGCAAAGATTGGCTCGTGTAATTGCCCAATGAGTCTGACTTCATTCTCCACCATGTGCCTCTCAAGTAAAGCACTAAAACAACCCCAAAGTTGTCTCCTAAACGCAGACGTAGAATTCTGAATTTGTCTGACATTGATCGCTTCCTAATTGGACAATCTCATACTCTGCCGCTCCAATTTGAGGGCCTCCTGAGAATCATAGTGTCTTTTCATCATTTTGTGCAAATGGTTCAACTAGGCTGTTTATGTAGCCATAGCAAGTCAAGATGGGGAATTTTAGGGATATTGTAGCTGCAACAAACTTGGACTAGTTTAGAGGAGAAATATACCTTTGGTAAGAAAATAAAAAATGATGAGGAACTATGGAAATGTCGAACAGTAGAAACAACTCTGGAACAAAACCCCATTGAAACAACTCTGTGTATTGGAAAAACCTAAGGATTGTTGAAACAACTCTGTATCATATCAATATTCAATTAGAGCTAGGGATTTTAGAGGATTTTAGTGTTAGAAGCTGGAAAACATGCAAGAACTTCATATATTCAAGACAACTACAATTAGAATAGCAAGAATTTCTAAAATCGGAAATCCACAAAATTTGGGAATTTCAGTGTTCTAAGTTAAGAAATTGGAGAACTGAGAATGAAATTTAGATTGACGAAACGTAAGGAAATGAAAAGTTGCAGAAGTGAGTCACAATAAGAATAGCTAAGAAAATGAGAGAGTACCTGCAACAAACCCAGATTTCGCGAAGAAGACTACGATGGAAAAGAGCGTGAAAGAATCTGAAAAAGCGGAATGATGTGTTTTAGATTTTCAGATTAATAATAACCTGAACATATATATACTGTTTAGACACTTTAATGTGATAAATAAAAAAATAAAGGATACTAGGACAAACAAAGAACGGCATGTTTTCAGACCAAAAAAAAAAGAACGGCATGTTGGTTTTGTTGGTCTGTTCGATTCCCGCAGGGAGTGTTTTTTCTTTTTGGGTTCTTTTATTGTTCGTTAATTTATATATATAAAGTAAAAGATAGAGAATGATGAAACATTCAAAATACCAAAAAATGCTCTTTGTTAATTCAAACATTAAGAATTAAAATTATTAATTAAATAAGGATAATATGTTAAATTCACACTTTTTCATATTTAAAAAATTAAAATTAAAAACAAAATCAGATAATAGGTCCTATTTTTATAGAACATAACTACCCATATTATCTTTTCTTAATTCTAAAAATAAAATAAATATAAATAATAATAAAAAAAACAATTGGCACATGCGTGAGCATGTGCCAAGGGGCTAGTATAAGTAACATATATTGTTCAACCCTCTTTTTTCTTTTTAACTACTTACTACATTTTTCATTTTTCAATTGTTTTTTTGGTTTCATGTGTTCAATCATTGCTTAAATAATAAAATTAAGCCATTCAGAAAAGTAAATTGATCAGGCCTAAATTTCTTATATAACCACAGCCATGATCTAAAAATGAGAATTAACTTAATCCCAGCTACATTCCTAGTATATAGTATATAAATAACGCTTTAATTATACAGTTCGTGTTTGTGTTTGGATTTTTTAACCTGAAAAAGTTTTAGTTAAGGTTCAGCAACACTTGCAACAAAATCATATTTCAGTAGCTTCGTGAAGAAGACAATGAAAATGACGGAGCCTAAAAAAGAGTGCAATCTGAAAAAGCGGAATTGATGTGCTTTATATTATTAATTAACATATGTTGTTCAATCCCTCTTTTTTCTTTTTTACTACTTACTACAAATTAAAACCACCCTCTGCCTTTTTTGGCATTGGCACCACCAACTTTTGAGTTGAGCCTGAAAACACCATCAGAAAGAATTGCACCTATTCATTCACTCTAGGATAAGGATAGTGTACAAACAACCAAACACGAATTGGGAAAAACAAACTTACAAACTGAAATTTGGAATAACACTGCCCAAAAAACCATTCAATTGACAAGTAAAAAAGCCTAACCCTGATTGAATCAAAAAGTAAAGTAAAAGAAAATGTCCAAAACGAAGTTGCTTATTAGTTGGCGATTGGTCCCCTTCCCTACGCTCGTCTGTCTGACCATATATTATGGTGGGTCATTAGCCCATTGTGCCCCGTGACTGTAGGATGGGCCAATGTCACCAGACCTAATTCTTCTTCCCTTGTGGGGCCCAAGCCCACACAATTCCCCACCATCAGCCGACAAAACCCCTCAAAAGATGCCATTAAGAAAATAAAGGAACTAAATGAGAGCAGGCAAGCCGTCTTAGCTCAGCTGGTAGAGCGCGTGGCTTTTAACCACGTGGTCGTGGGTTCGATTCCCACAGACGGCGAATTTGCCTTCACTTTATTATTTTGGCATTTTCTTCTACTATTCATAAAGCGGTCCCACCTTTATTTCCCTTTTCGTTTTTGTAACGGCAATTTCATATCAACTACTTTTGTGGAGATTAATTATTAAACAAATTAAGAGGGAGTTTCACTAAAACACCCAAAATGAGTTTTGAGTGTGTGTAATAATGAGTTTTTGGTGTGTTTCTATGTTTAAATAATGCTTGGTTTTTTTATAAATACATGTCTAGAATTGAGTTTATTTATAAATTTGTATTAAGTTTAATATGTCTAATCTTAAACCATTACAACTTAAGTTGGCCGTAATTTATCTGTCCCCTCAACCTCTTTTGGCATCCGTCCATCTATGGGTCGATTTCTTCAAGTCACGGTGGACCCTGGGCCCTTGCCTATTGCGATGTTTGGCTTTTTCTTTTTTTCGGTAGACCAAGTACTCTGAATTGAATTTGTTTCCAAAAAAAAAAGTACTCTGAATTCTAAATCATGCGGCCATATAAAGTGTTTCAGTTTGTCTATGAGTTCACACCTTAACTTCTGTGGAAATAGTAGGAGGGCTCAAGACCGACCAATCATGAAATTGAAAGAGAAAGAACTTGTATGTACAGAATATATTTATGTTCTTTTTTTAATTACGTTAATAAAAAGATAAAAGAGAAATAAACATACGCCTCGATAGTGATAAGTTTTTCTCTGAGTCAAGACTCAATTATATACTTTTATGGGTTTAATTAAAAAATAAAAATAATGTGGCTGTAGTTGTGTTGTGATTCTATGCTCTATTGTATGATATTTTTTATTGCAACAAGCGCAAAGGGCAACCACAGTCATCCAAAGCCATTAAGAGATATGCATCAACTGCAAGCTAACCTAAGATTCATTAATCCCAACCTGATACCCTATGATAATGCTAATAATAATATACAGAGCCAAAAAGGACAAAACCCATTTTGGAGATGTTTAATTTAATCCTCTAATTAAAAAATACAAACTAGAAGACAAATTAACAACAACAACAAACAATTTAATCAAAGATTACAACAACAGCCAGCTACTACTACCAACAAGACACTGGGGGCCTCTTGCTTCTCACAAGTGGCTTCATCTGCCAAACACAACCACAAAGATACAAAAACCAACATTTCCTACGCTCTCTCTCCCTCTCTCTTCTCTCTGTGTGTGTTTCCTGCCCCCACCCACACTAAATAATTGCAGGCTCTCAGTACATCTTGGAAAAAGACCATGCAAAGAGGCTTTTTTTCTTTTTTCTTTTCTTTTTTCCGTTGAAATTGCTCGCCCCATATGCAAAAATTCTTCTTTAACACATGTGACACACCCACCATGCATGTTCTCTCCCCAACCCACAACCCCCAAAAGTGTCCTTTTGTGAGCTTAAATTAATTTCTCTAGGTGGCTACATACATCAAGATTCAAAGGGGGATTTGGTTTTTAATTCTTTCCATGTTTAGCTGGGGCAAGCAAGTTTTGAGACATCCCTGCTAGACCTGTTGTATTTCATGTGGCTCTTGACCAGCTGCCCAGCTGCCAGGGCTGACATGAGTGAGAGCTCCCCTGCTAGGACAGAGCCAGCTACAATGGTGGCCAATTTCCTTGAGTTTGAACCAGGAGAGTCTTTGCTTGCTCCTTTCACACCTAATAGGTTCAAGCAGGCTGATTGGGATGCAAGTTGTGTTCCTCCTCCAACTGTTCCCACCTGAAAATTTATAAATTTTTTAAAAAAATAAACAAAAGTGGGATTAGGTGTCCTTTCAATTGAAGATCTCCACAAGAATCATCACTTCAATGTTTTCTTTCCCCAAAAAAACAAAATCAGAAAAGAAAGCAAAGTCTGCAGATTCTGCATTGGTATGGTGTATTTTTATATATATTGGGAATCCTCCACACCCTGGAATTTTTAAATGGCATAAGACAAATTCTCTAGAACAGAACAATCTGGTTATGGATCTAACATCACCTTTCAAATTCATTTAAAATTGAGCATGAATTATAATTAAGTTAAGTTAATTACACTAAATTAAGCATTAATTAGGGTTGTAATTGTACCTCAATGGAAGGCATGGTGACTGAGACATGAAGGTCCTTGCCATTGTTGACCGCTTCCATCATGGTGATGCAGTGAGAGCTCTCTACATTCTGAGCAGGGTCCTGCCCAGTGGCTAAGTAAATTGCAGAAACAATGTTGCTGGCGTGGGCATTGAATCCACCAAGAGCACCAGCCATTGCAGAACCAGTAAGGTTCTTGAGCACGTTAAGCTCCACTAGGGCTGCCACATTCGTCTTCAGCACCTTCCTCACCACCTCTTCCCTGATCACTACCTCACATACCACAGATTTGCCTCTCCCTTCTATCCAATTTACAGCTGCTGGTTTCTTGTCTGAGCAGAAATTTCCTAAACAGTACAGAATAAACACAAAACTAAATCAACCTAATGACCTATAGAAAATATTTTTACCAAACTTGCATTGTTTAAATCACACATGCGCTAAACATAAACATCTTATGTTATGAGACAGTCTAGCAAAT